CCAGAAGAATTGGTTATTATGAATGCAGTATCCTGCGGTATTTGAATATTGATAATCAAGTGTATGTGTACTAAGTTTATCAAGATCCATCTATTCATGTAAGATTGTTTGCTGTTAATTTTATTTATATAAGGCATATTAGAAAAAAAATTAAGGCCCCCTACCCCTAAGGGAATGTTATAAAAATTCTATGACCCCCAAGTGTTCATTCCCTGATAATGATGGATACATGTGCCAAGTTTGGTCAAGATCCATTAATCCATGTATGTGGAACAAACAAACAAACCCATAAATGATCACTTTTATAGATACATGTGATATGATATAATGGTCGCTTGACCATAAAGAAATAACAAATGAACATAAACGGAGTTCAGAAGTCACGCATGACAGCACGCTGCGTGACGGGTTTATTTTCCTCTCAGTAGTATTAATATAAAACATGTGAGGTAGGGGGACGGATGGTTGTGAAGAGGAAGCAGGACAGACCGGAAGCAAAATATATATAAGAGATTTAATAGTTGATACATCAAACACGAACTAAATGCACTTTCTTGCTTTAATTTATTCCATTAGTTTTGTTCAAAGTATTGGCACTTTTCTCATAGTTAAACATTTTTATTTAAAATATTTTGCATTTTAAAAATCTGACATAAAAACATAAAAGTAAATATATTATTTATATAAATAAATATCTCTCATTATAACAGTTACCGTGATCTCTAGTTAGAGTGTCCGGCTTTTTAACTTGCGAACCATTTTCCTACAATTTTAATTGTGAAGTTAACATCGGAGATTTACTTTAGTTAAATGTTCACACACCAGCAGACGATAACAACAGGACAAGACGTACACTGCCCGTGTCCCGATAATGTCCCCTTGCTGAGCCGGGTGCCGACACCACAACAAGCGACCCAGTGTGTGTTTGTCCTTATGTGTATGTCTTTGTGTGTGTCTTTGTGTGTTTGTGTGTATGTGTGTTTTAGTTTTTATTGTGTCTGCGTATGTGTGAGTGTAGTTGTTTTTGTTTTGGTGTGGGTGCACATGGTTGTGTGTTCATGAGTGGGTGGAGGTGTATGTTTGGACATTTGGAAGTTGTGTGTGTTTGTTTGTTTGGGAGTGTGTGGAAATTTAAAAAAAAAATGAAAAATGGGAAAGTGGTGTGTATGCGTCTGTGCGTGGATATGTTTGTCTGTGGATTGGTTTTTGTGGTTGTTATATATAAATATGTACGCATGTGTATCTGTGTGGGTCCAGCTCACTATTTGGAGATTGGTGCTGTTGTGTGTGTGTGTTTGCACTCTTGTACACAATGGTAAAGTTGTTACACTTCATGTACTTTTACACCTTACAAAGCAAGTGAGGCTTCGGCCCAAAGTGCAGACGTTGTCAAGTAGGTGTGACATTCATGACATCATATGAACCTTGACTTACTGGAGTTTAGAGAATCTCGCAGCTCTAGTGGAAGTTTCAGTCTTGATTTGAATTAGTTTATGTCAGACAAACATATAACATACACATAGCAAACATGTTGACCCTTTGGGCCATCCATAAATGATGGTGGGTGGGTGGGTGGAGGAAGTCATTTTTGTGCAGATATGTGATCAAAATGGGGGGGGGGGGGTTAAAGAAATGTGACGTCACATGGAAAATGGAACAATATAGAAAAAAATACAACAGGTTAAATTAGTTTACTATAACACTCCGTTCATTGAGAGATTCGGTACAACAGGTTAAATTAGTTTACTATAACACTCCGTTCATTGAGAGATTCGGTACAACAGGTTAAATTAGTTTACTATAACACTCCGTTCATTGAGAGATTCGGTACAACAGGTTAAATTAGTTTACTATAACACTCCGTTCATTGAGAGATTCGGTACAACAGGTTAAATTAGTTTACTATAACACTCCGTTCATTGAGAGATTCGGTACAACAGGTTAAATTAGTTTACTTTAACACTCCGTTCATTGAGAGATTCGGTACAACAGGTTAAATTAGTTTATTATAACACTCCGTTCATTGAGAGTCGGTACAACAGGTTAAATTAGTGTACTTTAACACTCCGTTTATTGAGAGATTCGGTACAACAGGTTAAATTAGTTTACTTTAACACTCCGTTCATTGAGAGATTCGGTACAGGTGTGGGCGTGGGAGCTCAGAGAAATGGACCTCTGATCCAGTTACAGGACGTCACGGAGAAGGAGACTCGGGGTGGAGAGACTCGGACAGGCGTGAGACTTGATGTCGAAATGTGGAGACGGGGGTCATATGATTGGGGCAGCCACGTGACGTGAGATGGAACGGGCAACGGTGGACTGTGTGCGGGGCGATTTTAGGAAATGATCTAAGGCCAGGGATTCTCAAATTTTTACATTGCTGCATCCCTTCTTAACTTCTAATCATTCTCTTTCTGTCTCTCTCTCTGTCTCTCTGTCTCTCTCTCTCTGTCTGTCTGTCTCTCTATCTCTCTTTCTCACTCTCTCTCTCTCTCTTTCTCTCTCTCTCTCTCTCTCTCTCTCTCCCCAGCCCCCGTATAAACTAAACAGTACCCTTTAAAGAAAATGAAATAATTAAATTATGTATTTATTTTTTTCCATTTGTTCAATTATTTGTTTAGATACCAGGCAAAACTATCATACAAATGTCAGTAATGTGCACACGAAATTCACAAGAATTTTTTTTTAATTTAATGTCAGAAACTACTCGTAATGACAGCAAATGACATTTCTTTTCTGAGTCTTCCGCACTTTCACCCTGGTTTTAGAACCACTGATCTAAGGAAATGCCTCTGACACAGGTGCATTAATTCAATAGTCACGTGACGTGAACTGTTTAACGCGTTGTAAAATACTGTAGTGGACGGAGGGATTTTTATAGGGGGGTTGCAGACATTTGTGACATCATAGTTGACGGGGAAGGGGGGGGGTCTAACTTTTTCTGACAATTTGTGACAGTGGAAGGGGGGGGGGGTAAATAAATTGGCAACATTTGCGTGACGTCAGTTATGGATTGGCCACTAGCAGCCACTCAACTAGTAAAACAAAATGATGTAAGATCAAGGGGTATAACCAATTCTAAGAGTGGCTGCCCATTTTTTACATAATGTCCCTTACCACAAACAAAAGTTCACTATTATATTTCCTTAACTCACTCGATTGAAAACAAGACAAAGTTTGCATAGTAAGTTGACATAATAAATGGACATAATAAGTTGACATAATAAGTGGACATAATAAGTGGACATAATAAGTTGACATAATAACTTGAAATAAAAATTGACATAGTAAGTTGACATAATAAGTTGCCATAGTAACTGACGTAATAAGTTGACATAATAACTTGACATAATAACTTGACATAATATTTTGACATAATAAGTTGACATAATAACTTGCCATAATAACTTGACATAATAAGTCCTCCGCCTTACAAGCCTAATGTGACAATAAAAATGATAGTTACTTCAAGTCTAATGAAACAATATAACTGATATGTACTCCAAGTCTAATGAGACAATATAATTGATAGTTAATTCAAGTCTAATGAAACAATATGACTGATATGTACTTCAAGTCTTATGAGACAATATAATTGATATGTACTTCAAGTCTAATGAGACAATATAACTGATATGTACTTCAAGTCTAATGAGACAATATAAATGATAGTTACTTCAAGTCTAATGAGACAATATAACTGATATGTACTTCAAGTCTTATGAGACAATATAATTGATATGTACTTCAAGTCTAATGAGACAATATAAATGATAATTACTTCAAGTCTAATGAGACAAAATAACTGATATGCACTTCAAGTCTAATGAGACAATATAAATGATAGTTACTTCAAGTCTAATGAGACAATATAACTGATATGTACTTCAAGTCTTATGAGACAATATAATTGATATGTACTTCAAGTCTAATGAGACAATATAAATGATAATTACTTCAAGTCTAATGAGACAAAATAACTGATATGCACTTCAAGTCTAATGAGACAATATAAATGATAGTTACTTCAAGTCTAATGAGACAATATAACTGATATGTACTCCAAGTCTAATGAGACAATATAATTGATAGTTAATTCAAGTCTAATGAAACAATATGACTGATATGTACTTCAAGTCTTATGAGACAATATAATTGATATGTACTTCAAGTCTAATGAGACAATATAAATGATAATTACTTCAAGTCTAATGAGAACAAAATAACTGATATGCACTTCAAGTCTAATAAGACAATATAAATAATATGTACATCAAGTCTAATGAGACAATAAAAATAATATGCACATCAAGTCTAATAAGACAATAAAAATAATATGTACATCAAGTCTAATGAGACAATACAAATAATATGTACGGCAAGTCTAATGAGACAATACAAATAACATGTACGGCAAGTCTAATGAGACAAAAAAATAATATGTACGCATGTCTAATGAGACAATATAATTGATATGTTCTTCAAGTCTAATGAGACAATATCAATAATATGTACATCAAGTCTAATGAGACAATATAAATAATATGTACGCAAGTCTAATGAGACAATATAAATGATAGTTACTTCAAGTCTAATGAGACAATATAACTGATATGTACTGCAAGTCTAATGAGACAATAAAATAATATGTACTGCAAGTCTAATGAGACAATATAAATAATATGTACATCAAGTCTAATGAGACCAAGTTCATGTTCACCGCTTATGTCTAATGATAAAATTGTGCAGCTAAAAATTTTAGAGTAACTGGATAGTCAATGTGGATTCTGGATAAATCTTTGTGAGTGGATACTGGATGCTTGTTAATGACAATGGAAACATTTTGAAGACACTTAACACCATGAATGACTCCAGGTAGCTCATCATTATCATTAAATAATCGTCAACAAGCCATGTTTGAGATCAAAATTTATGTAAATGCCCGCGGCACCCTGCACTGCCCGTCAAGCCATGTTTGAGATCAAACATTTATGTAAATGCCCGCAGTGCCCTGCACTGTCCGTCTAGCCATGTTTGATATCAAACATTTATGTAAATGCCCTCAGCGCCCTGCACTGTCCGTCTAGCCATGTTTGAGATCAAACATTTATGTAAATGCCCGCGGTGCCCTGCACTGTCCGTCTAGCCATTTTTGAGATCAAACATTTATGTAAATGCCCGCGGTGCCCTGCACTGTCCGTCTAGCCATGTTCGAGATTAAACATTTATGTAAATGCCCGCGGTGCCCTGCACTGTCCGTCTAGCCATGTTTGATATCAAACACTTATGTAAAAGCCCTCGGCGCCCTGCACTGCCCGTCTAGCCATGTTTTGAGGTCGTAAACTCTTGGTCGTAACACCGATGACGTCAGCGTCTCACACAAAGTACACAGTATTTTTTCCCGCGTTTCACTCGTGTACACATCTTTAGCTTGTAAGTATCTGCTGTACGCATCCATGTCGGTGCTTAATGATTTCAAAAACAAGGCCAGGTCTTTTGCCGTCTTAAACCAATCAGCGTTGACGAACGTGTTGTTGGGGAGGAGCGTGTCAACGTCGGCCCCGCCCCTCACGACGGGGATGATGTGGTTGTTGGGGACGAAGAGTTTGAACAGTTTCTCCGACATGTAGTCATCGCATATGGAGTTCTCAAAGGCGATGTAGAACTTGTATTGACTCAGCAACTGAACCATGCATGGACCGTACTCTGCCCGTGAGCAGTTGGTGGGCCGGCCACAGCGTCCATAGATATCGATGTCAACGTATTTCTGGAACATAAAAAAAAAACAACAAAAAGGGGTAATTACCTGCATTTGACATTGTTATCATATGATATTATCATGGCAGTGATAGAATAGATGCGAGTCATTCAACGCTTGTCAGTGCTATGTCTAATACAGCGTTATTTCCCAAGTCAAACTTCAAATATCAATAAAAATTGAATAGCTAAAGTTACTTTGCTTTACCTTCATTTCTTTGACGTAGTGCTCACGTTTAGACTGAGTCTTGCAGTTACTGACCAGCCACACGGCAGTTTTTCTTTTAGACACAGCGATGACCTCTAGACCAGGAAGACAACATAGACAATTGAGCTCTTCGAACAATAATGACATGATGGTATGTGTGTGCGTTCTGCAGTTACTGACCAGCCAAGTATGTGTGTGAGTCCTTTAGTACTTACCAGTCAAGTATGAATGTGTGACTTCTACAGTTACTGACCAGCCAAGTATGTGTGTGTGAGTCCTGAAGTTACTTACAAGCAAAGTATGCGTGTGTCAGTCCTGCAGTTACTTACAAGCCAAGTATGTATGTTTGAGTCCTGCAGTTACTTACAAGCCAAGTATGTATGTTTGAGTCCTGCAGTTAGTTACAAGCCAAGTATGTATGTTATGTAGCACACTACTCTCGTGCCGTGCTCTCTGGTTGACCCTCACATGAGACGGTGGTCACAATGGGCGGGGCTTAGTCTTTTGATCTGTCGTATTTAATGCCGACAGCAACTAAAAATAATTAATTTGTTCTCAGTGGGGTTTTGTCGAATGTTCGCGATTGTATTAGAAAAGTAAAGGCGTTTCTGGACGCGTCGGTAGACCCACAATAAAAATAAAGGGTTTCGGAGAGAGATTCAGAGAGATATTTTAACTTTACGAGACGATTGTATTATTCTTTGTGTCCTCATATGTGTTTATTCGCATTGATCATTCATCATTATTAATTGGCACATTGTACTAACAACTGTGTGCCGGTACAAGATTTTCACATACCCTGTAAGTTGATGATTTGTAATTATATTTCTTTTGTTTTGTAATTACATTATTACTAAATAAAATCTTACTAATTGTAATTGGCAACTGTTTTTGCGTGTCGTAACTTTACTATTGTATTTCTCTATGGTATCATCGTTTGTTGTGTACTGTGTGAACGAGCCATAACTTAAAACAAGAGATTAATTCCTCACATTAGAAGCCAGTGCGTAAAAATGTATGTGTGAGTCCTGTAGTAAATGACTAGTGAAGTATGCTTTGTGGCCTGTATTCTGTAGATTGCAAGGGATGAAAAACCTAGAATGGGTATTCTCGTATGTAGTTTTTTTATAATGTTGCGTTTTGTATTTCAATGTGTTATGATATAGATTTATCATTTCTCTTTAATATGGTTGACTTTGTACTGCGCTTCGAGCATTTAGTGACGAAGCGTGATTTTCAAATAAACTTTATAATTATTATAATTAGTTACTGACTAGTAAAGTATGCTGTGTGGCCTGTAGTTACTGACTAGTAAAGTATGCTGTGTGGCCTGTAGTTACTGACTAGTAAAGTATGCTGTGTGGCCTGTAGTTACTGACTAGTAAAGTATGCTGTGTGGCCTGTAGTTACTGACTAGTAAAGTATGCTGTGTGGCCTGTAGTTACTGACTAGTAAAGTATGCTGTGTGGCCTGTAGTTACTGACTAGTAAAGTATGCTGTGTGGCCTGTAGTTACTGACTAGTAAAGTATGCTGTGTGGCCTGTAGTTACTGACTAGTAAAGTATGCTGTGTGGCCTGTAGTTACTGACTAGTAAAGTATGCTGTGTGGCCTGTAGTTACTGACTAGTAAAGTATGCTGTGTGGCATGTAGTTACTGATTAGTATAGTGTGCTGCATGGCTTCATTGTTATATTTTTAAACGAAATGTAAAATCGTTGGTTATGGATAGAGTTTCCAAAACATAGATGATAGCATCAAGTTTAACGCACAAAAGATTCATTTACTAAAGATTAACTTACAGCAGATTAAGTTACAAGAGATTAACGTACAGAAGATTAACTTAAAGAAGATAAACTTATAAAAGATTGACTCAATAGCTTTACAGAAATATTAAGAATGTTTTCTTGTCAAAATTAATAGATTTGATAATTTTTTGGGTTTGAAAGTAAAACATGAAATAATTCGATGTCAAATCCAGGTACTCACTGTAATTTGGTCGATTTGATATTGGAGACGGTTCGTACCGTAGTGATCCATAGGGCCAAAGTATGTCAGCGTCTCTTTTGTAAGTGGCTGTCAGATTGAACGCAAAGCGCCATACTGACTTGGCTGGAAGTAAGATTGATCAAATATGAGTTGGCTAGAAGTAGGACGGATCAAATATGACTTGGCTAGAAGTAGGATGGATCAAATATGAGTTGGCTACAAGTAGGACGGATCAAATATGAGTTGGCTAGAAGTAGGATGGATCAAATATGAGTTGGCTACAAGTAGGACGGATCAAATATGAGTTGGCTAGAAGTAGGACGGATCAAATATGATTATGACTTGACTATAAGTAGGATTGATCAAATAGGACTTGTCTACAAGTAGGATGGATCAAATAGGAATTGGCTATAAGTAAGATGAATACACTATGACTTGGCTAGAAATAGGATGGATAAAATATGACTTGGGTAGAAATAGGATTGATCAAATATGACTTGGGTAGAAATAGGATGCATGAAATATAACTTTGCTACAAATGGGATGGATAAAATATGACCTGGCTAGAAATAGGATGGATAAAATATGACTTGGCTAGAAATAGGATGGATAAAATATGACTTGGCTAGAAATAGGATTGATCAAATATGACTTGGCTAGACATAGGATGGATAAAATATGACTTGGCTAGAAATAGGATGGATAAAATATGACCTGGCTAGAAATAGGATGGATAAAATATGACTTGGCTAGAAATAGGATTGATCAAATATGACTTGGCTAGACATAGGATGGATAAAATATGACTTGGCTAGAAGCAGGATTGATCAAATATGACTTGGCTAGAAATAGGATTGATCAAATATGACTTGGCTAGAAATAGGATTGATCAAATATGACTTGGCTAGAAATAGGATTGATCAAATATGACTTGGCTAGAAATAGGATTGATCAAATATGACTTGGCTAGAAGTAGGGTGGATACAATTTTCTTTATAAAATCTATATAGATAACATCAACGAAAGACAACCTAATAATGTTCTCTGTGTGCTCTGAGTTCTTCGTGAATTTAAACCAAGCACTATAGCCTCTTCTTCCATAAGTCTATACTAAAGTATCGGTGCATTTAAAAATAATCATCACCATCCTACTCAGGACCGGCCTAGAATATGGCATTTTTTTGTATTCGAAAAAATGTTTACGAAAAAGGGTAACTTGACACAAGTTTATGGGGTGGGGGTGGGCAATAAATAAAATCTAGCATGTTCTAGACAGTTCTAAAATTTTCATAGAGATATTTCTTGGGATTAAAAAGTTTGTGGAAATGTTAGTTTAGTGAAAAAGATATCTATTCGATTTTTTTTTCCAATGATGGATTTACTATTAAATAAGTATCCTTTGGAAGCTTTCATTTTGGAACTGTAGATTTCTATTCCTCACCGGGATATAGATTTCTATACCTTACCGGGATATAGATTTCTATAACTTACCGGGATATATATTTCTATTCCTAAACGAGATAAAGATTAAATTTCTATAACTTATTGGGACTTCGATTTCTATACTTTACCGGGATATATATTTCTATATTCTATACTAGATTTCTATATCTTTCCGGGATATAGATTTCTATACTTTACCGGGACATTTCGCACTTTTGGAGAATTAATATTTCCAAAGTTTCTTGAAGTTTTTAGATTATTATAGAAGGTTCGATTTCTTTCTATGAACGTTCCAGGATGACATGACTGTCCTCGTCGTGGTTTAAAGGTTTGTTTCCTTATCCGATCCTTGGATTGACCGGGTGTACTGGCCAGTGCTACTCAAAGGTTAGGCTAAATGATAGGTTCTAATTAAAACATATCATTTCAATAAATCATGGCAACTTTCTTTAACAAACATGAAAAGCTTAGGACACAACCATTTCTGATGAGTTAACAGCAAACTTATGGTTTAATTAAAGGTGCTGCTGTCATTTTACAGACGTCAACATTTCGACTACTACTGTCATTATACTAATATCTACACAAGGGACATAAGAGAAAGATAACAAATCTTTTGTAACAATCTGTTGTCAGAGTATGCTGTCACAATCTGTTGTCAGAGTATGCTGTCACAATCTGTTGTCACAGTCTGTTGTAGCAATCTGTTGTCACAATCTGTTGTCACAGTCTGCTGTAGCAATATGTTGTCACAACAATGCAGTGAGGAAAAGAAAGGAAAAGGAAGAGGGGGGGGCGGAAGTTTGGCCCTTATCTCAACAAAAGTGCATAGTTTATATTCTTTTAAACACTGACCAGTAAAAATTTAACATTTTTATAAACACTGGCTAGTAATAAGTTAACATGATTTTAAGCACTGACCTGTGGTGACCTGACTCCGGAGATGGAGGGGAGACTCCATCGCGCCAAACACATACAGCTGTCCGTCCCATCGTTGTGATGGCATTTCCTTTTCTTTTAATGAAACACCATAGACGAATACAACGTCAGTTTCATTGTCGATACTCCCAGTATCGAATACACACCTATGACGTAGACAGGGGTAGCTGGTTGGCGGAAGGTCTTTTAGCCAGGCAGGGCGATTTATCATCGATATTTTAATAGCCTCATTTCGGCTGAGTTTTTCAATGATCCTCCCGGGTGATACGCGAGGGATTGAATTCTTTGATGGGTTTGTAATTGTTTTTGTGTTTGTAGTTTGGGATGAATTAAAGTCAAGAGTAAATTGTGTTGAAATATTTCTAAAAGTTGTTCGATGAAAGAAGTTTTTGGCCATCCTATAGTAGCTGTCTGATAGTGAAAGTGAGCCAGTGCAGTCGACCAATAGGGTTGGCGAGCACTGTGAGCTGACTTGGTTTAACTTGATTTCACTCTTAATATTTAAAAAGATGTAGGTAGACGAAAGTAATGATACCAGCGTAATGTATAATAGTAAGTTTTTTGTATATCTGTGTAGCATGTTCTATGAGTTTAGACCAATATGTTCATGTATCATAGTTTGAATAGTAAGTGGGAGGACAGTTTTTGATTGAAGTATTTAGCATCTATGCCAAGATTTTAAAAAAAAATGAATGAAAACAAGATCAATAGAAGTTCATGAATTTATTTTGCGCATTGATGCGTTGTTTGGCAAACAGAATGGACTCTATGTACTACAATGTGTTTGACAAATGGAATCTATGTACTACAATGTGTTTGACAAATGAACTCTATGTACTACAATGTGTTTGACAAATGGAATCTATGTACTACAATGTGTTTGACAAATGGACTCTATGTACTACAATGTGTTTGACAAATGGACTCTATGTACTACAATGTGTTTGGCAAATGGACTCTATGTACTACAATGTATTTGACAAATGGACTCTATGTACTACAATGTGTTTGACAAATGGACTCTATGTACTACAAGGGACTATATGTATTACAATGGAGAATGGTAACTAAATGAGCTGCCATTCAAGCGTCATGTAAAAATACTCTGCCATTTATTTGTCGTTGTCTACTTTGAATACACGTCAAGTGGTCACGAGGCAGTCTGCAGTGGGAAAAAACAACATATTGATCAAAACAGGATAATGGTGATTTATAAAATTAGTTTTTAGTTAGAGATAAGGTTGAACTTAACGGTTGCTAAAATATGTATGTAGAAAATTATCAACTAAGGATGTCTTATTGTCGAGTATGAGCGTTCATTAGGAATTGTTGCGACTCAATATTATGTTCATTAGTTGTTGAACGCTTTTCCCGCGCTTGACTATTATAGTTAGTGAACGCTCTTCCCGCCATTGTCTTTATGACGTATTTTTATGCTGAGTCGTGACGTATTGTCTATGCAGTGTTGTGACGTATGTTGTAGTCGTGCGGCAGTCTTGAGTGGAACCTTGGAGTGATAGGATGTTTATTATATTTACTTAGATATTAAAGTTATAGTTATTATCAAAAGGAGTTGAGTTTGTTAATTGATAGTGAGAATAGTACGACGCTTCAACGTATGAAAGAACTAACGAATGTAATCAATCCAAGAAGACGTATAGGAGTTGACATGGGGGCTTCTCATCCGGGATTGGTGAACCTCGTTATTTTCATACTTGAGGTAAAGTACAAGAACATTCTTAGTATTCAACTTTAGTGAAGCTACAACCATCGTCGCATGTTCCCGTATTTCAATGTCGGAGCCCCGCTGCCACCGTGTGTCAAGTTTATATGAGTTGCATACGCCAGTAACTCCATCAACCACCTACGTCCTGTATTAGGCTAGTTATGTCCTAACCTGCAACAGGCTAACTACGCCCTGCCCGTTATCAAGTTGCCAACGTCCTGTCCAGTTCCAGTGAAATAACTACGTCCTGCCCGTTATCAAGTTACTAACCTCGTGTCCAGTTCCAGTGAAATAACTACGCCCTGCCCGTTATCAAGTTACTAACCTCGTGTCCAGTTCCAGTGAAATAACTACGCCCTGCCCGTTATCAAGTTTCCAACGTCCTGTCCAGTTCCAGTGAAATAACTACGTCCTGCCCTGTATGAAGCTACCAATGTCGTGTCCAGTTACAGCAAATTAACTACGCCCTGTCCGTTATCAAGTTACCAACGTCCTGTTCAGTCCCAGTGAATTAACTACGCCCATCGCTGCATCGAGTTATACAAGTCCTGTCGGTAGTGAGCTACCCACTCCGTGTTCAGTTGGAGTGAATTAACTACGACCATCGCAATTAACTACGACCATCGCTGCATCGAGTTATCTTCGTCCTGTCGGTAGTGAGCTACCAACTTCGTGTCCAGTGAGCTGTGAAGTCCTGTGGCCTGTCCGGTCACTCAGTTTAACAACGCCCTGTCCTGTTTCAACGAGCCACCAACGTCCCGTCCTGCATCAAGCTGCACATGCCCGATCCTGTATTGGCGAGTTACCCACGAACTGTCCAGTGTCGGCGATTCGCCTACATTCTGTCCAGTGAGCTGCCGATGTCCCGTGACCCGTCCCGGTCACCCACACCTCAATGACTGTGTCCCAAGATCGCCATATAGGACAATTGAAGTTTGTGAGAGAACTATTGACAGTAAAGAACAATTGACACTTAATTAAGCCCAGTGTGTGTTTTGAATAATATTTAAATTCTATAGGACTTTTCACGAACCAGGCAAGTTGGATTTTTATTGTTTTAAAAAAAAAATTGGCATAAATTTTCTTTTGTATTTACATTTTTTTTACCTGGGTAGAATTTAGATTTTGCTAGAGTTAGTTTAAACAGACTGCGATTGGTCCTTACACCTAATCATTGTTTATTGTATGATCACCCTTAGTTTGCATTGCTATGGCTGGATATGTCAGTAGGAAATGGAGTTTAGAAGAAATTAGGCATGTGGGTGTGTTACTTCTTTATACGGGAGAGAACCTAGAGGAATATATAAGAGTTAAGGTCGAAGAACACATACGGGAAGAGAGAGAGGAAGAACTTAGAGCCAGACAGAAAGAACGTATAGATAGACAGAGAGAGGAAGAACGTATAGATAGACAGAGAGAGGAAGAACGTATAAATAAACAGAGAGAGAGACAAATTGAACTAGATAAACTAGATGAAAAAATTAGACTGGCGGAATTAGAGGCAGAACGACGGGAAATTATTTTAAAGAAACAGGCATATTATTATAGTGACAGTGACGATGACGAGAGTGAGGGGGAAGAAATATACTATGGCATTGCCAGCATTCACTGTGAGAATCCCTATAAAAATTTTAATAGAGTTTCTGTTAATGTAAGTGAAAACAATTTTATTGACGATTATGTGGATAACGGTGGACATACTCATGATCCTGACCCCAGGCAAGAGCCGGCCTCGCAACCACGGTTCATGGCTAAAGATACTGAGGAACAAAATGATATTATTACCTCTGGTGACGACTCAATTTTTTTAAATAGAAATGACAGTGAATTGTTAATTGGTCCGTCGGCTGACGTTAAAAGGGACAACGTTGACCGTGTTGACATACCCCCAGTGGCAAAGGGTACAGATATAGCTTTAGATTCATGTCAAAACGAGGTTGAAGTATTTGGTGTATCCCAGGAAGTCCAATGTAAAGAAGAAAGGGGACGACAATTTAATAAGGTAGAAGTCATTGGAAATGACCTTAGGTGGACGTATGTAGGGGATTGTCCCAGCGTCACAGTATGTAATAAACTTGTGGTTATGGAAACGGGCTGCCTTGAAAGCAAAGAGAACCCTGTTCTAATGTCTGAGGACATGATTTTTGTTGTATCTCATGGTGAGCCATCAGATAATGTAAGTCCTGAAGTTACAGTGTCTGATTTTTTGTGTGAAGTTGATGAGGTGAGTGTAATCCCTGAGGTGGGGGAAGAAGAGAAAATTGTTGTTGATAATGATTGTGATGTAAATGAGTCACTGTGTAATGTGAGCCAGGTGTGCTCAGGTTTTGATGTTACTGCAGAGATCTGCAATGAAAATGTATCACAAGTTGTTATGAGCAAGGGTTGCTCAAAATTTTTTAGTATTGCAGATAGCTGTAATGATAATGAATCACCTGTAAATGTGAGCCAGGGCTGCTCAAATTTTCATATTGTTACGGATAGTTGTAATGATAATGAATCACCTGTAAATGTGAGCCAGGGCTGCTCAAATTCACACATTGTTACATATAGTTGTAATGAAAATAAATTCCCAATTAATGTGAGTGAAGGTTGTCCAGATTTTGAGAGCCAGGAGTGCTCTAACATTAAGTTGGAAACCAATGTTGAAAGTGTTAAAGAGAGCGCTGCCAGCTCTAAAGGTGCACTTGTTTATGATTTTCAAGAGGAGGTGAGATGTCAGGTCCATGAGTTGGGAGGTGAGGCTTTTGATTGTATTGTTAAACAAAATGAATCTGTTAAAATGAACTATTGCCATGATTGCCCTGAAGTTCCTGATTTGTTTGAATTTCTTTTTTATGAGACTCGTTTTTCATTTTGTAACAATTTAAAACTATGTATTGTAAAACTGAGATTTCACATGAGTTATGACCACGGGTCAAAAGAACAAGGAGAGATAATTTTAATTATAATAAACATGTTGAAGCATAAAGTTGTGAAATCCACGGACAAAAGATATGTCCCGCCATCTGTAACTGTGTTATTTAAGAGCAAATAAAGGCTGCTTAAATTGTGGTGAGACATTTCTCACCTGTAATAATGTTAGATAGTTTTGTGTTTTTATAGTGATGACCATTGGTTTTGTTTAAAAATACACCTTTTTGATGATATGATTTGGATTAACTTAGTTATAGCTTCAAATTCAGTAAGGATATTGATGTATTTGCCCTGATTTTTTAGATAAAAATATAATTATTTTTATTGGTATGAAAAATGAAAATTAATGTTGACATTCAATTTCAATGGTCTGATTTTTATTGTCGTACATGAATTTTTAACTCTTGAATTGCATTTAAAATTATGTACGATGGATTGTTTATTTTATTGCAGTATATCATAAATCTGTTTGATTTTCAGTGATACCTAAATAATGTTTTTTGATAAGGACCATTCATATGGCTGAAGGGTTCTTCTTGATGTAATTGATGTAAATTTTGTATGTCTGGTGACGATTTCACTCCCTGAGTAAAATCTGAAATGAAAGAGGGGGGATATGTCGAGTATGAGCGTTCATTAGGAATTGTTGCGACTCAATATTATGTTCATTAGTTGTTGAACGCTTTTCCCGCGCTTGACTATTATAGTTAGTGAACGCTCTTCCCGCCATTGTCTTTATGACGTATTTTTATGCTGAGTCGTGACGTATTGTCTATGCAGTGTTGTGACGTATGTTGTAGTCGTGCGGCAGTCTTGAGTGGAACCTTGGAGTGATAGGATGTTTATTATATTTACTTAGATATTAAAGTTATAGTTATTATCAAAAGGAGTTGAGTTTGTTAATTGATAGTGAGAATAGTACGACGCTTCAACGTATG